TTCATCTCATAGCAATATATGTACATATAATGATACAAAAGTTCTTTCAAATACACATAAATTCTTGTTTTTTGACACCGAAATTTTATACCAGTTTTATAGAAATCTTTTAGTGTGCATCACAGTCGATCCCTGTTTCTACAAAACATTCATAATTTCTTCTTTTTTATATATATTTATACTATTTTTTTTACAAATCTTTTATTTTGTATCAGAACCCTAAAAGTTTATACCAGTGCCATAAAAATAATTTATTACATATCTGCGTCCTTAAATCGCCCTTGCTTACTTTAAAGTAAATATCAACGGCAAATATCGTTTCTCTTAATTGCAGCTTATATACAACTGTATGTTGCTAAGGGTTTAATTGTTCGGTAACAGTCTTTAGACCAATTTTTCAATATTAACTCGACATGTTTTTTCCTCTTGTTATTAAAACCTTCGCTGCTTTTAAATATTTTCTCTGTGTTTAGTTTTTCAACACCAACATTTTATATCAGTTTTATATAAATTTATTATTTAGCCCTTAAAGGTTTAAAATCAATATTATTTATTTTAGGGGAAACATTTGTATTATTATATAGTTTTATGATACCGAAATTTTATACCAGTTTCGTAAAAGGTTTCATGTTTCTCAGAGAACCTTTTTAAGTTATTATTTTGTATTATATTATTTATTTTAAGAGAACCATATGAATTATTCAATAATTTAATGATACCGAATTTGTATACCAGTTTCATAAAAATTTTAATGTTTCTCATAAAAGCTTTCAAATCAAAAAATTTTTTATATCATTAGAGGTATTTGCACTTTTTTGTGTATTTAGTTTTCCGGTAATAATTTATACCAGTTTATTACAAGTTTATTAATTTTTTTTAAAGTTTTTAAATCCGTAATTTTTACTTTACTTATTATAAAAGGTGCTTTCAAATGTTTTCTTAGTTTTACATTATTAAAATTGTATACCAGTTTTGTAAAGGTTTCCTTGTTAGCCTTGAACGCTTTTAAATAAGCATTTGTTAATTTATGAGAAATGAGTGTACCATTTCTATAGCTTTACAGATATAACATGTTATACCAGTTTGGTAAAAATAGCTTTGCTTTCCATAAAATTTCTTAAACCAATATGTTTAGTATACTTTGGGGAAGGTACTCACACTATAATGTAAGACTTTCATTTAGATAATTTTATACCAGTTTTGTGAATATTTCGTGTAATAGTTAATTTTAAAAGCTTATGATATAACATTATTTTATTTTAAGAAGGATATTTTTTCTATTTCTTTGGTTTCAAATTTTATACCAGTTTAATAGCAACTATCAAGTCTCCCACAAAAATTTTTAAATTAATACTGTTTACTTTATATTATGTGGTTTACAACGTTACTATAGCTTTACATGATTAAAATTTTATACCAGTTTAGTAAAAATTATCTTGTTTGCCATACAAGTTTTAAAATTAATATTGTTCATTTTAGGGTACGTAATTATAAATATTTCTGCAGTTTTTATTATTATATTATATAAAAATTTTATACCAGTTTCATAAGAAATCTTTGGTTTGCCATACACGTTTTTAAAACAATATTGTTTACTTTGAGTTTGGTAATTTTTTTTTTGATTATTAGACTAGTGGTTTTGGTAAAATAATTTATTTTTTGTTATAAAATTCGTTTAGCATTAAGTGTGATGTTTATACCAGCTTTATATTTATTACACCTTGGCTTATTTATTTGGTGCTAGCACTGTATTTATTACATCGTCGGTAATTTATGGCAAATAATTAAGTTCCTTCTTTGATTTTAGTAGTGTTTTTCCTCGCTTTATTTACATCAAGAATTTGGTTAGTATATTTATTGGCGTTAAAGCTTTTCGAAGAATTTATTTAATTAATTATACGATAAATATTTATGAATAATAAATGAACAGCGTGATTTAAAACCGCTGGAGCCTTAATTACATACAAAATGTAGCTTACGTGGCAACGCCAAACCAATTTATTATTTTTATTGATTATTTTACTAGGAACAATATATATGTATGTATGTTCATACAGGGCTTTGTGTGGCCCATATGCATCTGACCTACTCCTGTCAGTACGTGCTGCTTCTGTAATTGACAGCCGCATATAAATTCCGCCAACGAGTGCAGCTTTTAGCCATCAAATCATCAATATTCCGCACACCCAACCACACACCACACAAATATTTTATTCCACATAACATAAATATTTCTCACAAGTACACAATGAGGATTACATTTCACTTAAATAAATTTTTAATCAACAATAAACACATAATAAAAGTGGGTTATGTGAATTTATGGTTTGGCCACGGCGTATACGCAACCAGCATTAATTGCGCGGCCACCTCTGATTTCCGCCGTTTATAACTACACCTTTCAGCGCGCCAGCCAGTCGTAATTAATATACACAATTTTAATTACTATCTCACATAAAAGTTTAAATAATATTCATAACAACAACAACAGCGACAACAACAATATTGCAATTACAATGCAAAAGTATTTATTGTATGTCAACATCATCCTCATAATTATTATGTATTTATGAATTAATTTTCAATTTACGCTGCAGGCCGCCAGCTGTCCATCAATGTGTGTGCAAAGTGCGCGTTTTTATGCATTTTTGTGCGAGATTTCCTTTGCTTGCACGCCTCGGGATTTTGCTCACATCGCTTATAAATTTACATATACATATACATATATGATACATATTTCCATTGTATTTATTGCTTTATTTTATGGTACGTTTGCCAGTGTGTGTGAGCATACGTGTGAGATTGTTTTGCAGTCATAATTATGAGCGCATTTGTTGCATTCGTCATTGTTTAACAATTTTGCTACAGAATTTTATGATTACATTATTTTGTTGCTGTAGTTTTTTGTGCTGGTGTTTTATGGCTATTAAAATTTAAAATAAGTATGACTCAATAAATACGTGGCCGTATGTGAATTTAATGAATGCGGCATTTGTGCATTAATAATATTAACTTCAAAAATTATTGTAAGGTCAGCAAAATGTTTAATAGCGTTTATACCAGTTGTTGTGATAGTAATGTAAAAGCTACTACACATAAGAATTTGTATTCGTGACCTATTTGCAGTTTCTATATATAGCAATTGTTCCTCATTTTGCGGTAATACAATTTTATACCAGTTTCGTAAAAATTGCCTACTGTGTCATAAATTTTATGGAATATTGTTTACTTTTGATATTTTAATCATATTTTAATTTTATACCAGTTAAGAGTTTTATACCAGTTTTGAAATCTAAATTTCTTAAATTCCCAGCAGGTTATTTCGCTGCTCAGTGCACTCTCTAATAACTTCTAGTGTGAAATAATCTCGTTCGAAATTAATTTCTATACTTATACCATTTTATTATAAACCAAGCTATATTTCAAATTTTTCTCTTCCACAACGTTTTCCCTTGTTTTGTTTCAAGTTGTACATAACGAAATTTAAAGAAATTTAGTACAAGAAATTGAATTACAATATCCAAAAAAAATATAATTTTTCTACAGAAGTTGAACTTACAGATTTTTTTTTAACTTTTCTAAACAATTTCTTATAAAAAATTAATTATAACAATTACCAAATAAAAAAATATCATATTTAAAAAAAAATGACAAAAAATTAAAAGAAATTAATTAAATTTTGTTACAGACATACATGATATAGTACTAAATTAAAA